AGACAAGGAATGGCTTACAGAATTAAAATCTGTCCAAAATTCATGAAGGTTTTCATCAATAGGTTTTTGCATCTGAAATTACAAATACAACACATCAAATTACAGGTATTCAGAATTTTGCACTAATACATGTATAGCTACAAACGAATACTGAATAAAATGGCAAATATGATGACATAATCAAACAAGAAATGTGATATTGGAACCTTAAATTCTGTAAAAAATTTCACTGTTAAACTTAGAAATTGTCAGGATTTGATGGCACTCACTCATGAAAAAACAATTTTGAGAAAGTCATTGTGATACTCAATGACTTGCAAAATTAGTGAAAATTGTCCCTCGCAAAATAAAAAGCAGTTTACAAGTAGTCTGTAGATGCACTACAGTATAATAACTTAACTTTGAAGTGGACAATCATCTGCTGGCCTTTCCTTTCATAAAAACATGTAATTTTCAAAGTGGATATCATTGCCATCAATAAATTCAACATATTGTAGTATTTATCTTTGTTACTACGGTAATATGGGAATATTACTCTGCACAATTTAGATATGCAAGCTAGATTTAAGCTAGGTTTAAGTCAGATAAAAGTTAGGTACTGGTAAATGTTAACTTATATTTGAATCGTATTGTACATAGAAACTATAATGTTAAATTATCTGCGTTTCGCAGATTAGCAGATAATTGCTATCTATTTGTATGTAAATTATTCAGGTGCCATTGCACCTGCTCCGATTGGTTAGTGGCTAAGTAGCCAGGTGCTCTTGAGTATATAGTGAGAAGAGTATTCTATCGTATTCAGTCTTGGTTGCAAACAACTCACGATGTATTTTTTATTTTTATAAATGTATAATATTCTTTATACCCCTAGGTACATCTGACATTGCGTCGAGTACAGGATTCCAGATGTTTTTCTCCCTTGACGGGTTTTTATATCTGGTTTTTCCTGGGCGGTCGATGTATTCGCGATGGGGCTTTGACATCAATTTCGTAAATATTTACATACATGTATGTAAGGGGGGATAAATAAACGTTGTAATAAACGCATGTGGCTCCTGGGTGCTGCAACCACCGCATACCGCATTTCATGCTTGTTGTGTAATTTGTATGAATAATTGAAGCTAAGTATAGATCATTGCTTTTCAATAAAAGTTCTTACCTGAACATCACCAAGTGAAGCTGATAAGCAAGGAAGTGAGAACACTCTGAAAAAGATGCAAGCAGATACATTACAAATGCAGCAAGGTATTCTAGGCACAATATTTATTACTAACTTAGAGGTGTTGGTGCTAGAGCACAGAAGAGTGGTGTTTATTTGTATATTGGGTTTAAAAATATTTTGGTTTCCAAATCATTGTGGTTAATGTTTAAAGCTGATTCTCAAAAGGTGAGTATCTAGTGTGTAGAGTGTCCCTATTAATTTGTGAGAAGGTTAAAGTATTATTTCTCACTGACATTTAATTTCATTATTTTCATATATGTCCCATATAACTTTTTAAAATTTAAATTCATTTGATTTTCCAGTAAAAAAAAAAAAGAGAGTTCTATCACATAAATTTAATTTTGTGAATTTCAGTTATCAGTGAAAATAGCAAAATTAAATTCTACAGTAGTGTGTTAGGTGAAGGTAAATTTGGTACATTTTTCGTAATATGTAAATTTATAGTTCATTCTTTTTGAGTGATTTCTTAACTTAAAGCACAAGTCCATCTTATACTAGAAAATATTAAGAATAATTCCCATTTCATCAATTAGCTTGCGATAAAAAAAAAATTATGGAAGAGACTAACAGGGATGGCTCCTTAACCACTTCACAACAAGACCACATCTCTAAACATAGCATGAGTGCAATGATATCTTTAACAACATTTCAAAAATGTTAAGCATTATAAATCACACATCTTAATCAGAGAGATATGGTTAAGGGGACCACTCACTTTTTATAATCTATAAATTGAGTTATTCACTACATTACAAAATATTAAAATATTTCTCAGTTATAGCCATCAGTCTTGTTATTAAGTATTAATATTAAAGCACTGTGAAATACATTATATATGACAGGATAGATTTAAATATTAAAATATTTCTCAGTTATAACCATCAGTCTTGTTATTAAGTATTAATATTAAAGCACTGTGAAATACATTATATATGACAGGATAGATTTAAATATTAAAATATTTCTCAGTTATAACCATCAGTCTTGTTATTAAGTATTACTATTAAAGCACTGTGAAATACATTATATATGACAGGATAGATTTAAATATTAAAATATTTCTCTATTATAACAATCAGTCTTGTTATTAAGTATTAATATTAAAGCACTGTGAAATACATTATATATGACAGGATAGATTTAAATATTAAAATATTTCTCAGTTATAACCATCAGTCTTGTTATTAAGTATTAATATTAAAGCACTGTGAAATACATTATATATGACAGGATAGATTTAAATATTAAAACTTGAAGTTCATCAAATATAGCGGTTGAAATTTACCTTTGTTTATCACCCATTGAAGAGTTTAGTCTGTTTAAAAAATGGCGACAATCCTGAAAATTAGAAGCAAAGAATCAGTTATTATAAAGCTATCAATAGGATTGTGCAGTCACCGCATTCACAAGATAAATACAGCATAGTAGTTATTCTAACATAGTGTTTTAAGCTTTGGTCTTTAAACCAATAGAGAAATATGTATTAAATTTACCTGACAATAAATTTGAGGTGATCTCAACATGGTGTTTTTTTTTTGGAGGAAAAGACATTATTGTTTCCCCGATCTGATGTTAAGTGTGAGATTTGTTTATACACTGAAATCTATGTACATTGTGATTCCCATCCTGTGAAAATATCACTCTAATATCATATGCTGAAACACACAACAAGTACATCTAAATTATCATAACGATAGTGTAATAAATAGACCAGAAATACCAGTCTGAATAAATTCTAAACCTTGCCATATATTCCAACCACTGAAACATTAGTAATCAGTAAAGCACAAGGACTTAAAATGAATTGAGCAGGATGTTAATCTCCCCTCTCCCTCATCACACAAACACAGCAACCCCACCCTTCTTTCTGAGGGGCAAAGAGGATACTTACAGTTTCAAACTGTTGATCTCTTATAGAGTTAAAGTCAGCAATATGCGAAGGCCGTATAAACCATTCTTTAGAGAGTTGAGATCTATCTGATTTTAAAGTCATACGTGATAACGCCTCAATAATTGCAATCTGCATGTCAAAGTCACCAGCTGTATAAATCAGTCGACCTAATCTTTGTCTGCAAGTAGTAACAGTAATAATAATAACAACCTTTATTGATATCGTATCCCCTCTGGGATCTAGATTAGAATACAATAAGGATATAAGGAACAATAAAATACATAAGTAATAAAAAATATAAAAAGGAAATAAATAAATAGTAATACTGTGAAAATATTATTATGTAAATACTTTTTGGTGTTATTTTGAGGCAGCTGGTAAATTGCTTTTCATGAAGTTCTCTCTTTTAGTGAAACAGTCGCTGATAAACTTGGCAATTGCTTGGACAGTTTCAGAATTTTTGTTATTGAGAAGTGCTTTCAGATTACCGGATAAGTTTAAGTTTTCAAACAAAGTATCTCTTTAAAATTTGTACAGGTTACAATTAAAGAGGAAGTGTTCTTCATCTTCAATTTCATTCAAGTCACAGACAGGGCATGTTCTATTTATATCAGTATATCAGGGTTATTATCACAAGCATAATGTCTATTTCTCCACACAGTGATGTAATACTGGACATACCGGTATCAAAAATGCATATCACACAGTAGTTGCATTGTATTTTTA